TCTGTCTGTCATTTCCCTTGCATCGTATCCTGACTATCCTATCCTTCACCCTGGTCTCCCGTGGATAGTGGTCTCCGAGAGGGACGGTCCGCGGCACATAGTGAGTCCTAGGACAGCCAGGGCTATGTAGAAAGATCCTGCTTCAAAACGAAAACAAAAAGGATGGACGAAAGGGTAGCTATAGTAAAACTCAAGACAGCCACTAAAATGGCATAGAAGAAAGTTTTGTGATATAATAAAATGCTTTCTAAACAGACAGATCCCTAGAGCATGACGACCAGGCAACCTAAGCACTTCGGTGGGCCCAGATTCAGTTAGAGACTGTCTCAAAATATAAGGGGAGTTCAATAGAGGAAGACACCTGACATTGACCTCTGCTCTCTCTCCCAACCCCCCCCCCCAACACACAGTGCTTTAGCATATTAAATTTTTTTAAAGCCACAAAGAACATATATTGTCTAACCACAGTATTTGTTTTATAGTTTCAAAACAGAAAATGGGATTTGAAAACATACCAAAGTTGTTAATATATCTTGTTTTATTAGTAGGGATTATATTCATTTTGTTTAAGGTTTTTTTGTATTTTGTGAAATTTCAGCAGTGGATATTTTTACAACACAGGAGAAAGTACAAGAGCCAGGTGCCGGGATGAGAGTCTGTAATCACAGCACTCAGGAAGGTCTCAAGTTGGAGACCAGCTTGGGCTACACAGCAGACTCCACCTCAAACAAAGGAGAAAAGACAAGAAATGCCCTTTGAAAGGTCTAGCAGCTAGAGGGCTGGGGAGGTGTTCAATTACCCCTTAAAGTGAAGAGGTATGATAGGGCCTGATTTTGTGAATGGCTGTAATCCCATCACTCAGGAGACAGATGTAGGAGGATTACAAATTTGAGGCCAACCTGGACTATGTAGTGAGATGCTGTCTGAAAACAAAACAATTAAAACTTGGGCGAAGGGACAGACACAAAGTCTAATTATGACTGCCAATACATAGTTCTAGAGGAGAGGTAAGGTGTAGTGTTCTAGGGTGAGAACATTTATAATAACCTATTAAATATTCAAGAGAGAGGAGTTTGATGTTTCCTAGCACAAATGAGTGATGAATGTGTTTTTTTTATTTTTATTTTTTTGGTTTTTCGAGACAGGGTTTCTCTGTGGCTTTGGAGCCTGTCCTGGAACTAGCTCTGTAGACCAGGCTGGTCTTGAACTCACAGAGATCCGCCTGCCTCTGCCTCCCAAGTGCTAGGATTAAAGGTGTGTGCCACCACCGCCCGGCTGAGTGATGAATGTGTAAGGAGTGTGTGTGTGTGTGTGAGTGTGTGTGTCTGTGTGAGTGTGTGTCTGTGTGTGTGAGTGTGTGAATGTGTGTGTGTGTGCCAGAGAGGAAACCTAGAGCCTTGCCAGATGGACAAATTCCAGTGTCTTAATCACTACACCACTCCATACCCAAAGGAGAGTGTGAGACAAGCCCTTCAACACAAGAATTTTCAGGCGGATATCCAGGAGAAGAAAGGGGTTTCTTGCGTCTAGGTTTCCAGTGGGGAATCTTGGAGGAGTATGTAGTAAAGAAGGTTCAGAACTTGATTCTTTAGAGCATGACCTATGGTGAACTCTAGGGATGCCCACAGACTAAATAGGCCGCTGAGCCTTTGTATAGACTCTCAGATAGTAAGCAAAGAGCTGCTGGGGTCCTAAAGCCTGCTGAAAAGTCTCAGCTACTCTGAAAATGGAAGACAGGTCAGCCCTCAACAGGGGACCCAGTGAAGGCCACCACCAACATCTGCTAGACTCAAAACCCAAGGAAGTCTGTACGATGAGTACATCTTCACAAAAGTCAAAGGGCATAGTTTGTATGGCAATGAATACAGTCCTGGGCAGTATGAGGGTAAGCCAGTTAGGAAGGGTGTAACACAGGAGGGGCAGGAAGCAAGTTTGCTCGGCTGAAAGCGTGCAAGCATGCATCAAGGTGTAGCTGGAGATAAAGCCGTGGGCTAAAGGGTATGGCTGATTGGCGGGTGTCTTGAAGCCTACCTTCTAATTTTTTAAGTTAGTTGACGTTAGCATGCAGAGTGATGGGTTTCCTCATGGGATTTTCATGTGTATATGTTATTACTGTTTATCCTCACTCGCCCCCTCCCCCAGTACCTTCCCACATATTCCCAACCCCTTCTTGCAGTTCCCCCCTCCTTGTCTGCTTTCATATTGCCTGTATTACTTTGCTCTCCCCCTGCGTTTCATGGTTTCTTTCTTCTCCCCCATGGAATCTTTTCTATTTTCAGACCCCTGCCACACACACACACAGACACAGACACACACAGACACAGACACACACAGACACAGACACACACACACAGACACAGACACACACAGACACACACAGACACACACACAGACACACACAGACACACACACACCTCTCTAAATGTAAATCCCACACATAGGTGGAAATGAGCAGGTACTGACTTCCCGAGTCTGCCTTATTTCCCTTTACACAACGGGCTCTGGTTCCATTCACGGATCTTCTAACCCGTACTGGTTGGGAAGCAAAGGAGTGCAAGCTTTTAAGAAAAAGGGTGGTGGGGTCAAATTGCAGGAGTCACTGTTGTACCAGGCACTGGAGGAAAAGTCCTTTCTTTGTCGTGACAGTAGACAGTTCCCTCGCTGCTGGGGAGCCTCTCCTTTCTACACCCTTGCTTTATCAGGGATGGGCAGACAGGGCGTGGCTTGTGTGTTTTTAGGGACCGCCAGAAGGCCATCTGTGGGGCAGAGGGAGCTCTTGGCTTTGAGGCTCTGCTCATCAGTCTAGAATATGGACTTTTCCCAGACCCATCTTTTGGGATGTTCCTGGCATTCTTGGCCGATGTCAGACCACCCTGCCTGTGGGGAGATGGTATTCCCAGCTAGAAGGCTCCAGCTTTGCCACTAAAGGACAAGGATCCCCCCGCGTCCCAAATGTGGTGAGTTCTCTCCCGTCTCCCTTCTTTTCTTAGTCTGTCTAGTTCTTTAAATTTCTCAGTATTGTTACGCTCATGAATGTAGAGAAATAATCTTTCCTTTTACAAAGAACATCTTTGCTTTGTTTTGTTTTGTTTTTCAAGACAAGGTTTCTCTGTGTAAGAGCCCTAGCTGTCCTGGAACCAGCTCTGTAGACCAGGCTGGCCTCAAACTCACAGAGATCAGCTTGCCTCTGCCTCCTGAGTGCTGGGATTAAAGGTGTGCGCCACCGCTGTCCAGCTACAAAGAACATTTTAAAGGATAAAAAGGGACAATGGTTAGCTGTCACTTAAGCCCCAAATACAGCAAGTGACAGGAATGACAGGTGGCTATGTATGAAGACTCTTACTTAACACTGCAGTGCTATTAATACTTCAGCAGGCATGCCGTTTGCCCTCACCATCTGCTCGGTCCTGAACTGGGTGACTGCGAAGTTGTAGATACCTGGGATCTTCTTAAACTGCTCAAGATGGGCAAAGAACGTCTGTTGGGATCCTTTCCTCCTCTTCTTTCTTTTTTTCTGACTTAGAAGTTTCAAAACTCAAACTAGTTCAGACTTACAATGGAACTGACTCTGGGGGAAGATACGTGCAACTTGTGTCATGGGAAAAAATGGTTACTTATGTGAAGAATTTTGCAAGCCATTAAGAGACAAACGTGTCAAAGACAAAAAACCCAGCAAAATACAGAGGAAATCATTGACAAGGACCAATAAATGAATAATCAAAGAAGTACAGATTAGCACAAGGGACTACCAAATTCTAAGAAATACAGTTTTGTTATCAAATTGGTAAAAACTTTAAAAACTTGATACATCCTTCTGAAGGCAGGGTTGTAGGAAAACAAGAAAATTAATTAATTAATTTGCTTTGACTTTTCCTTAGGGCAATTTGGTGGTGAAATTGTAAAACATTCCTATTTTAAAATTAGGAAAGTCAAGGCCTAAAAGTTTCAGCAGCTTCCTTTTACTCAGAGTCTCATTTAGTTGGAAACCGCACTGCTACCCCTAGGACGAAGCCTCCTACTCCCAGCCGCCAACCCGCTGTCATTTGTAGCAATGTTTAAGCCACCTACCATATTTAATTATTTTTTAAAATTCTCACAGGTCTGTGTTGGAACACTGAATCTGGTTGGAGAATATGTGGTTGCATGAACAATGTGTGTAATGCCACATTCCCGGAAAACATCAGGTACCAAAGCCACGATGGTTTTATGCTTTTGGAAAGATTTTTTAATTTTATGTGTATGAGTGTTTGTCTGCATGCTTGTATGTATGGCAGGTACATGCTTAGTGCCTGTGGAGGTCAGAAGAGGGCATTTTTTGGATCCCCTGGAATTGGAGTTACAGATGGTTGTGAGCTACCATGTGGGTGCTGGGATCGAACCCAGGTCCTCTCTGTGAGAGCAGGCAGTGCACTAAAGAGCTGAACCATTTCTCCAGCCCCTCCAGACTGTTTTCCAGTAACCAAAGTGATACAAAAGATATGAAATGTTGGAGAGACTTTGGGAGTGTTCTCGCCTCCTAGAGTGTTGGCATTTTCAACGTTTTCCTCGGTGTGGCTGGAAAGATTCTGCTTCCTGCTGATGGCATTTTGGGCAATGGCAAGTGGGTGGGCGGAGCTTTACTAGGGAGCCCTCTGGGGTCTCAGGCTGCTAGAGCACCCAGTGCACCTGGGTTATGACTGTCTCCTTTTTGCTCAGTACACATTTATCACGCACTTGTTCTCCAGGCATCTATATATTAAGTCCTCCCATCTACATGTGAAGACAGGCCCCTCCCCCACGGACTAAGAACATGCTATCACAGATAGTACACAACCTTGCTAGAGATGTGGAGCTAGCAAAGGAAAATAGGTGAGACCTGAACCCAGGTTTATTCAACCCCCAGTGCCTGTTTGAAGTGTCTTCATGATGGAACGGTGGACTTGTACGCCTCTGTTGGTTATATATAAATCTAAAAGGGTGTCAGGGAGGCTGGAGAGATGGCTCAGCAGTTAAGAGTACTTGCTGCTTTTCCTAGGGACCATTCTCAGTCCCCACATCAGGCTCCTCCCAACCACCAGCGTCTCCCGTTAACAGCGGAGCTGATGCCCTCCTCTACCTCCCAGGGCACCCGTACTCACGTGGTGTACACACCTCCTCTCGTATATACATACAATTTAAAATATTTAAGGATGAAGAAAAGAAAGTGTTTCTGAGAATTTTAGTCACTTTGTCACACGAGTGTAAGGATAGTGAAGCTGGGCTTTGAAGCACGTGTCCTTGCTCCTCAGGTGGAACACGTGACCTGGGTCTCAGCCCCACCTCCTAAGTTCTTCAGCTCAAGTTCATCAGTCCTCTTCCGGTGTCTGCCCTAGTTCATATGGAGAGACCACCAAGTCCCTCTGGCTCCCGGCTCCTCAGCTGCCTCCTCACTCTAGCCTCCCTCCAAATGCCTGCTCAGGTGTCAGGTAGGAGTTTTGGATCTTTCTCTGTCTGGGAGGTCTGACCGGGATGAGGCCTGGCGCTGGAATTTGGTTCTTGGGTTCCGTTGTCTGCTGTCCTTCCCAGGCTCTGCCCTTCCTTAGGAAACTCCCCTTTCTCACTCATCCCCCAAGCCATCTCTTCAGCACCCTTCACCCCGTTTGGTGTCTGTTCCACAGGGAATACTGACAAGTTCTACCTGGCCCCACTCGGGGGCAGAGCCGAGCTGCCCTGCCCCATCTTGCTCTGGCCAGGCATGGTGCTCAGCGAGGTGAGGTGGGAACGGCCTGCACACCTGCCTCGCACCCAGGCTGTCCACGTGTTCCGGGATGGGCAGGACAGTGATGAAGAGCTGATGCCAGAATACAAGGGCAGGACCACGCTGGTGAGAGATACCCAGAAGCAAAGTTACATTCTGTATATCAGTAACGTGAGGCTCGAGGACCGAGGGCTGTACCAATGCCAGTTCCGGGTCGGAAACCAGAGTCAAGAGGGCAACGTGACCCTACAAGTGGCAGGTTAGGATGGGTTGCAGGGGCCTGGGTCATTTGTGGCAATTGCCTTGTCAGCTCTGTCTTCTCTAGCTGGGTCTGCTCATCTCAATGAAGCCCTGACTGGTGATTCTTCCCGGGAGGGGGAGAAACCTGGACTTCGGAAAACACTGTCCAGTGCAGGACCCGGATAAACACAGGCTGGCCGGCTCAGACAAGAGCAGTTTTCTCAGCTTCGTTACCAAGAAACTCACAACCAGGGCCGCAAGGAAAAGTCCTCAAGGGCCAGGATTCCCTGCTGTGATAAGGAATTGCTTCACAGTCCTTTTCCAAGTTCTTGAGTATTTAAAGAGCCAGAAGTCAGAGACTGTTCCTCAAACTAGCTTCAGGGTTTTTATAAAAATCAGTCTACTGCAGACCCATCCCAAGTCTCTGCTCTCACTTCAGGCCAGTCCATGGGGTTACCATTGTCAGTCTTTTTTAAAGATTTTTTTAAAATTTTTATTTTATGTGTTTGGGTGTATTGTCTGCTCATATATCTGTCTACCAAATAGGTACTTGGGGCCCACAGACCCCAGAAGAGAGTGTCAGATCCCCTTGGGACTAGAATTACAAACAGTTGTGAGCTGCCATGTGGATGGTGGGGTGGGTCCTCTGGAAGGGCAGCCAGTACTTTTAACCCCTGAGCCAGCTCATCTCTCCAACCCCTGATCATCTTTGCTTATCATTTAGTTACGAAAGAGGGATGAAATTCATTTAAAACGCATAGTAGTTGGTAGATTCTTTCCAGTCACGGAGTCCTTTGGCTGGGGGTGGGCAAGATACCTTTCAAACAGGGACTGAGGTGCCCAAAGGAACAGAATAGTGTGGACGGGTGTTGTTATGAGCGGATCTTGAACTTCATTTGGATTGACATCATTGTGGTGGTCAGACCCGCTGAGGGTAAAGGGAAGGCAGAAACGACAGCTCTATTAACAGCTGTCCATCAGAGGAAGGGGTGGAAGGCAGGACACTGGCTAGGACTGTACCCTTGCCACCACGCCCCTGCCAGTCAGTTAAGTTGCCTCAGTCAGACAATCTGTCCCCTTTAGTTTCAGGCTCTGATCCCTTCATCCACGTGAAGAGCTATGATGCTGGCTGGATTCAGCTGGTGTGCTGGTCAATGGGATGGTTCCCAAAGCCGTGGACCGAGTGGAGAGACACTCAGGGCAGAGTGCTCCTGTCGCTCTCAGAGACCCACTCCCTGGATGAAACTGGGCTATTCCGAACAGCAGTGTCCAGCCGCGTCAGGGACAGCGCTCTGGGGAATGTGTCCTGCACTGTCCGTAATGAGATCCTCGGCCAAGAGAAGACCACAGCCATGGTTATTGCAGGTAATGCGGGGGCGCAAATCAGCTTGAGGCTCTTGAGGAGCCTGGAGGAAATTTTACCTTGTGGGGGCTTTATACAGACTTTTCAGGGGAAGGGAGATGGCTCGGTGGTTGGGGCATTCAGAAACACACACGCTACACAGACACACATGCAAGCCAAACACCCATACATGTAAAAATTTTAAATTAATTTTTTGTTTTTTTTTTCATTCTATGAATTATATTATAGCTCTAAGAATGTGTATTGTGAAAAATAAACATGAAAAAGTGGAACATTTTAGAGAAATCAAAAACAATGGCGTAGAATCTCATAAATCATAGAGAATTACTGCTAATGTTTTGGGGGTCCACATTCACATGCCCTGAGGAGTGTGCCCACACTTCTGTGTGTGCCCACGTTTGTTCCTCATTTCTTTTCTCACTTCTCAAGTCATAAACTATTTGTTCTCTAATTCTGAAGTGTTTTTTCATAAATTGATTTTTGGGGAGGCATCAAATTCCATCATGTGGCTATTGATCAAAACAAAGTAACCCGAAGGCTGTCTCTGGGACTCCAGATGCTTTGCAACGCCCCCCAGCCCCCCCCCCCCCCCGCCCCACTGACCTCCCCCACGACCCCCTTCCCCGCCCCACCGACACCCCCCTGCCGCATCTGATAACTAGTGGTGGGTGGACATCTTCACACTTATTTCAAGCTGATTCAGAACACATTCTTTAAAAAATGGAACTGCTGGGTTAAAAAGTGTGAAGCTTTGAAATATCCTTGAAATATGGAGTCACGTGATAAAATAAGTTGGTAGAGAAGCCTCCTGGACATCTGCCAATCCTTTTCTTCACTCCTCCCTTTATGTTCCTCCCCTCTTACTTCTGCCACCGCCTCTCCCTAGCTCCTAAGAGTTTAAGGTGACTTATTTAAGTCCTTCCCCTCCCCCGTAGTCCCAGGGAATTAAGACTCCATTTTACAGATGAATAACCCAGGTTGGGAGAGGCTGGGTCTCTTGCCTAGGGCCTCCCAATGGTTGAAAAGGATGTACAGCCAGCTGGGACTCCTCACAGCCCCCCCTTTCCTGTCCTGCCTCCTGGGGTCACAGATAAGCAGTCCCATCTCCTGCATTCCTTTCCCTTTCCTGTCTGAGCTCCAGGCCTGCCGCTGTGGTCCGTAGACCTTGTCTTGCCCCTGCTGACGGTGGAGCAGAGAGACAGCCTGGAACACATTGTTGTAGCCACGTCTGTGGCTGCACAACAGAAAGGGTTTGAGGAGAAGGCAGGCGGGACTCATAAGGGACTGTTGGGAATTTTAAGGAGCACACATTCTGGGCTTTGAGGTCTCTGGAGTATTTGTCCATAGAGTTAGAAGACAGGGTGAACTTGTGGTTGAGAAGTCTTCATTGGATGCGAACATCCCATTTCTCTCTGTCACCCAGAGTTTGAGTTAACAAGGGAAGCAAAGAGGCTCATCAGTCTTGGCAGGGTTCTCCCTAGAGCCGATGGAGTTGGTTGGCTATGCCTGAGCCACCTACCCTCCGAGGCAGAGAACTGCTCTCAGCCGTCTCCTTGAGGGTGGTCATTGGTGGTCTCTGTTTCAGCCCCAGCTCCCGGAAGTCTGTCCTCTCCAGCAGTGGCTCTCTCTGTGGTCCTGCCTATCTTGGGACTCCTTATCCTTCTTGGCATTTGGCTCATCTGTAAACAAAAAAGATCAAAAGGTAACTTGGTGGTGGAGCTGTGAGGACAGTGATTATAGGGTGTGGGGGTGTGGGGGACTGTGACTGCCCTAGGGAAAGACTAGCAGAAGTAGATGTGGGCATGGCATCTACCAGAGGTGGGAGACCCCGCAAGTTGAAAACTGGGACAATCATAAACCCGGGACACACATGGCAGAGGGAATGCAGTAGACTGCGGAGAGGCTCTGGGTAGAGCTGTGCGTTCTCACCCTTTGAGAAATTAGACAGCAACCAACCCTGGCAGCTTTCTAATTAACTAAGAAATTAGAGCCTTCTAATCAGGAAATCCAATTATATCCATTAAAACCCTCATTAAAATGGTCACATTTCTTGGGCTCTTGATTGCAAAGGATTTGGAAAGTTACGTAACCCAACATTTCTTCCCCCTCTTGATGGTGTGAAGACTCTGATCTTTTCAAATGCCCATACGCCTATAGTGGCAAGGGGTCAGTCCTAACCAGACGGCTTAGGCCATGTTTGGGCAACACTGTGTGTTAGGAAGAAATGCTTCCTAAGCTGAGCTCACTCTCCCCTCTCTCCTTTCCAGAGAAGCTGCTGTACGAACAGGTGATGGAGGTAGGTAAGTGTTCCGGGTACGGGTGGGGCACATGCTTTTGTTTTGTTGGTTTCTGTATCTCCAGTGCCCACAGAACTACATTTGTACCTGAAAGTTCCACCACCTTCTGTTTGTGTTGATGGAGGAACTCAGTGTTTTTCCTAAAAGCAGAGGTAACGCACGGAATGGGGACATCCCGACCAGAATGGCGCTCTAAAGAGGGCTCTTTGGCTACTGGGTTGTGAAGAGACCAGAGGAGTAAGACAGGACCTGCCAGACCAATTGGGTTCCCACTTTTGTGGTTCAGAGGAGAGATATGACAGGCTGAATCAGGAGGGGCAGAAATGAAGATGGCAGAGTTGGGGGTAGTTCAGGAGCTGATAAAACCAATAGGGACTCAGAACCTTCCCTGGAAATAGTCGAGAATTTTATCTGCTTCCTCTTTTCTTTCTCTAGAAAATCTTCTGGAAGACCACGCCAAAGAAAAAGGTATGTACCGAGCGAGAGGCAGTAAGCAAGTATAGCATTCTTTCTTCTTACTGTAGATGCCAGCAGTCCCTCCACAGTACTAGAATTCAGTTTCCGGTGTCGAGGGGCGATGGAGTTGGTGGCAGTGAGTGAGGAGATGCCAATGCCCAATGCATGTGTCTGGATTGCCATGCGCTCCTTCATCAGTCATTCTAGCAATCTTCTTAAAAGGAGGTCTGCCTGTGACTGAAAGACATATGAGCAAGGTCACACGGGATGAATGAGAAACGCAGGGACCCACATGACCTTGACGTGCAGAGCAGTGGCATGGTGCCATGGAAGGGCTGCAGGCTTTGGGGTCGGCCGTACTTGATTCAGCTTGCTGGTCTCCCATATTGTGGCCTTGAGCTATTCAGTCTTGCCCTGGACTCTGGATTCCTTATTTGTAATACGGGGATACTAAGATCCAGGGTTAAAAGAGAAAACCTTTTCAAAAGATCTGCCGCAGGGTCTGGGTTTTTTTTTTTTCTCTCTCAATGCCACTTCATCATCATTAATTGGATGAACACATGCTGGTGTCTTCCTAGGACAAAAGTCAAAAGACATGCTTTTGAAGTCTTGTGGAGATCTATCATCGACTTGATGGCTCCTAGTTCAGTGATGTTAGAATCTGGCCCTACGTCATTTCTCCCCAACCTGGGGTTGGAGAGTGTGGAGTTTATACTGCAGCCAGGCTGACTGCTCTGCCCAAGAGCACAGAGGAACAGCATTGTGTGATGGCAAGGGACACTGACTTAGAGGTCAGACAGATTTGAGTTCAAATCCCGCCTCCTTGGTCACTTACTAGATCGATGACCTTGAGAAAATTTCACGGTCCTTCTGAGCCTCAGCCTATTTTCTTCAAAGCAGGAATGCACGTCATGGTTTAGAGGTTCCAGGTCTCACTCTGTGTAAGAGCAGGGCACGGTGGATGGTGGCAGTTAGGTTGTGGAAGTGACAGTCATACATCCTAAGCTCCTGAGAAGCTATGGCTTATTCAGCGTCACTGTTCCAAGCCAGGAGCCTACCCTGGGTCTATCCCTTAGCTGGGTGGACTCAGGTGCATAGCTCCAATTCTCTGACAAGGGTAATGCTAGGCTGGGGAAGATAAGGGCCAGGTGGGCCCTCTAGAGACGCTAGAAGCACTTGTGCAAAGCACAGGAAGCATATAAATATTCCAGACTTCCTGGGCCCTGAATTGTGAAAACGGTGACTTTGGAGAATTGCTCTAGGGAATTACAAAGTCACTCCAGTGAGTGAGTTAGTGATGGGTCTTAGATACTGTAAACAGGAGGCTGCAGAAAGGCAGTAAGTCATGAGAACGTGCATACGTGCGCGCGCACACACACACACACACACACACACACACACACACACACACACCCTAGTATTACTGACATGGAAAGAGAGGACGTGAGACCAGACAGAAACAAAGGGAAAGGGGAAGCAAAGAGAGAGCTACCAGCAGGAAAATTACACAAGCTCCATTGGACTCATAAGTCTGACTTTAACCGGGGATTAGATTAGGAACTGATGGAAGCAGCTCCGACCTTTCCTTCTTGGTGGTGTGTGTGTGTGCGCGTGCGTGTATGCGTGTATGTGAGTGTGTGTGGTGGAGTGGTGGGCTTTCCAGGGCCCCAGGGATAAGGCATCAGGTCACTCACTCCTTTCTCTCTCTCTCTCTGGTTTTCAGGAAGACTCCACAAAGCCCTCAGTAAGTGCTGTCAAGTTCTCTTAGCCCCCCTCTTTCTGCTACTGTCTCTGCTGCCGGCTGACTGGCTCAGTGACTGTCTGGGCAGGGGGAACAGGGCAATTCAAACCAAGGAGGGTTGCCTGGCTGTCGACATCCCCATTGTGAGCGCTGTCTGTTTCTCTTTCCTACACAGCACTTATGTGGCTTCTAAGTGGGAGCTGTTTCACCAAGATGTGTGCCTCTCTTAGATGAAGCCCCTGGGACGTCCTTTATACCGGGCATAGTGCTCCCTAGGCAGGGTCTGCGGCTGTTGCGTCCCCTCTGGAATGTGACGCGGCCTTCTGAATTCTCAGTCATTTCATCCACGGGAACCCATTTTTAACACTTAATAATAACAAAAAACCAGCCAGGCAAGGTGGCACACACCTTTTATCCCAGCACTCAGGCAAATCTTGAGTTTGAAGCCAGCCTGGTCTGTATATGAAGTTCCAGAGCTACATGGTGAGACCCTTGTCCAAAACAAAACAAAAACCAACACCAACAAACCAAAGAACAAGAAGACAAACAAAAAATTGAAGGCATGTGACATGTATACATATCTTACATAGAGAAAATACACATGCTAACAAGATTTTATAGGGATTTGGCGACAGTTTTACATAAAGTTTTATCTTATTCAATAACATCTTCACATACTTCACTTACATTGTCACCTACAAATGTAATATTTATTGTACCTGAAGGTAAGGTTTGACTCACATAGGAATTTGGGGATCATCTGTCATATCTCTGGGGACCCCTAGGCCACAGCAGGGAGCCATACCCCTATTGCAGGCATCATTATGGGGGAAGTCCCAGGACACGGCTGCTTCTAATCTGTTATGGGAATGCGGGTGTGAGGGACAGAAGCATAGTGAGCGGGTCATGGTCCTTGTTCTGATGCATCCAACTGTTTTTATTCTTCAGAGAAGCTCCGGAGTGAACTGAGTAAGTCTGCCATGTTTTTGTAATTTCCATGCCAACGTATTTCCTGCCCCGTAAGTCCAGTGACAGATAGCTCACCCCTTGCTTCTTCTCCCCCAGAATTGAAAAGAGCCGCTGCCAACGCAGGTGAGATGCTCTTCCTCTGGCTTTGGCTCTGCCCTCCGGGCTGCCTCCATTCCTACCCCGCTTTAACAAATCCTCCCTTTGCCTTTCAGGTTGGAGAAGAGCCCGGCTGCATTTTGGTAAGTTAAGTCAGCCTTCCCGGTTTCCATTCCAGAGCCCATGCTTCTCGGACTCTGTTGCTTGAGTTTTCATCCCGTCCCACTTGAATCCGGACTGTAAATTTATGTTATTATAAGTAGTGGTTGTGTCGCTATGCAGCACAGCTGGATCAGGTCTGTCATTCTCCTTGCCTTCCCTCAGAGGACTGTGACCCAGGAGATGTAAGTCAAACAAACCCTTTCCTCCCTAGTTCCTTTTGGTCGAGGTGTTTCGTCCCAGCAATAGCAACTGTAACTGAGACAGGAGAGAGGATATATTTGGCTTCCAGCTCACAATTAATCATCAGTCAAACGCAAAACAGGAATCTGGAAGCAGCGACTAAAGTACAGACCATGGGGACATGTGGCTTACTGGCTTGCTCCCTGTGACTTGTCCAGCCTGCTTTCTCGTACAACTCAGGACCACCCGCCCAGGGGTGACACCACCCACAATGGGCGGAGTCCTGCCGTATCAATCATTAATCAAGGAAATGAACCCATCAGTTTTTCCTACAGTTAAATCTGATGGAGACAGCTTTTGTTTTGTATTGTTGTTGTTGTTTTGGAGACAGGGTTTCTCTGCGTGGTCCTGGTTGTCCTGGAACTCACTCTGTAGATCAGGCTGGCCCTGGAACTAGCTCTACAGAACAGGATGGCCTCGAACTCACAGAGATCCGCCTGCCTCTGTCTCCTGAGTGCTGAGATTAAAGACATGCGCCGCCACCACCAGGCTGGAAAGCATTTTCTTAATTGAGTTTCCCTCTTCCCAGATTACTCTAGCACAGCAGTTCTCAACCTTCCTAATGCTGCAACCTTTTAATATACAGCGCCTCATGTGGTGGTGACCCCCAACCACCATATGAAATAACCATAAAGTTATTTCACTGCTATTTCATGACTGTAATTTTGTACTGTTATGAATTGGAATGTAAATATCTAATATACAGGATCTCTGATATACAACCCCCAAGGGAAGGGGGTCGTGACCCACAGGTTGAGAACCACTAGAGTCTAGCTTGTTATCAGATTGTCAAAAAGCTAACCAGAACATGGTCTAACATCCAAGTCTAGATTTTTTTTGTGTGTTTTGGCTTCTGAGGCTGTCCAGTGCAGTGCCGGCTGGTTTCCTATTCTCTCTGAGGCCACGGATGACCCTGAGCTACTGATGCTCCAGCCTTCCTCCACTCCCCAATACCGTCGTACTGCGTCATCCCACCTGTTTTACATAGTGATGGAAGTGGAACTTAGGACTCCAGGCTCACTAGGCAAGCTTTCTATCTGCAAGCTAAATGTCCGGTTCCAGTATGTCTGTGGATGTGGTCGGGGAAAGCCATGAACTAAAACAGATTAGTGACAGATTGCAGACCTCCAGAGAATTTCCCCCCTCCAAATCTACCTGAAGATTCCTTAAGATATAAATTTCTCTTCTCTCTACAGTGGTGGTAACCCTGGACCCTGACACGGCCCATCCCAAACTCATCCTGTCTGAGGATCGGAGATGTGTGAGGCTTGGCGACAAGAAGCGGTCCGTTCCTGACCACCCTCAGAGGTTTGATTTTGTCGTCAGCGTGCTTGGCTCTGAGTACTTCACCACCGGCTGCCATTACTGGGAGGTGTACGTGGGCGAGAAGACCAAATGGATCCTTGGTGTGTGCAGTGACTCCGTGAGCCGGAAGGGGAAGGTCACGGCCTCACCCGCCAACGGCCACTGGCTCCTGCGGCAGAGCCGTCGGAATGAGTATGAAGCTCTCACGTCCCCGCAGACCTCCTTCCGTCTGAAGGAGTCTCCAAAGTGTGTGGGGGTTTTCTTGGACTATGAAGCGGGAGTCATCTCCTTCTACAACGTGACTGACAAGTCCCACATCTTTACTTTCACCCACAGTTTCTCTAGCCCCCTTCGTCCTTTCTTTGAACCTTGTCTTCACGATGAGGGGAGGAACACGGCACCTCTAGTTATTTGTACCGAGCTGCAGAAGTCAGACGAATCGGTTGTTACCAAACAGGAGGGAAAAAGCCGTGCTAATGGAGACGTGACCCTGAAGGTGAATCCGTCCTTACTGTCTCCTCAGGGTTCTGAGCTTTTTCCAGTCAACGATACCTGGCCCTCTAGCCTCGGCCCTGCCCTTCAGGGGTTTAAGGCTCCTTCTCTATAGGGTTGTGCCCTGTGATCTGATGCGTGCAGGTGAGCATCTTCTAGCCTGGCACCCTGGACTCAGTCTTCTGGCCCAGCATCTGTTTCTCCAGTACCTCTGGTCTTTGACCCAAATCCAGACCCCTTCTGTGGCTTCTGTCTGTACCACCTTTCTCCCAGGGTTCAATTCTGAACACTGCCTTTTTTTTTTTTCTGGAGACTGGACATTCCCATTGCCCTGGTGGATGACTTCTTGATATGAACAGCGCTCACTCAGTGGAGGTTTAGTAGGAGACGTTGGCTGTATCTCAGCAGCGTTCAGTGCAGGCTCAGGAGACAGGCTCTGTACCTGAGGGAATCCTGACAGGAACTTCTCACAGCGTCAATGGGTTTTCAGTAGTGAAGCTACAGCCCCCGACTCTGAGTTCTTTCATCAAAGACTGTTCTTCTCTACCCCCAACCCTGTCCCCAGTTCAGGCCTCCAACTCCCAAAGCCAGCTTTCTTACAAGTGTATGTCTTGTGAATCGCACATGCTCCCTTCTTTGTTCAGGACTGAAGCAGAGGAGTCAGCATCCCGTTGCTTTCTATTTCCTTCACGCTGTTGACAGCACAGCCTGGGGACAACCAGAGTATGTTTTCAACAGCTAGCTTTAAAGGGAGCCATCTAGGATGTACGTGTTTTCAGAATCAGTTTACCTACATGTTGACCAGGAACTATAATATCCCCAAAACCCTCAACATAGGCATGGAGCTGGGAGGCACAGCTGTAATCAAAGCTGTCCAGCTGTGTGGTCACTCTGCAGTCTATGGCTCTGACCCTCTGAAGACCTCATGAAGTTCAGAGAGGCCCATGAGAAAAAGTGGCAGTTTGAGCCACTCACCTCAATAGACCCACAAGACCATTATTCTTCAAGACTCGACAATAGCCTCTGGGTCATAGATTACTGATTTCAAGAAAGCTGGTCTTATTTAAAATAAGATGTCTTATTGCTGGGTATGGTGACACACATCTTTAGTCCCAACAGGCGGGTCTCTGTAAGTTTGAGACCAGCCTGGTCTACATAGTGAGGTCCAGGATGGAGAGACCCTGTCTCAATTCCCCCAACCCCCCAAAACTCCAAAACCAAGTAAGACATCTTATTTGAAAGATTATATAGTGAGACAATAAAATAATGAATTTAAGGCTGGAAATACTACTGGTCGATTGAGAGCTTATACTGCTCTTGCAGAGGACCTGAGTTTGGTTTCTGGCACCCATATTGGGCAATTGACAACCACCTGAAACTCCAACTCCAGAGGATGAGGCTTCCTCTTCTAGCTTTCAAGGGCACCTTCAATTCACTGCACATAACTATACATCAACGCACACATGCATACACACACACACACGCGCGCACACTACACATTTATTTTTTTGGATGTGGATTAGAAAAAGAAGGCAAGGAACTTTCAGGTAACACCTATGTATGTGAGGCAGCCTCTTTGTTTGCAGGTGAGAAGGCAACTGGACCCCTCTGGAACTAGATCTGTGACAAGTTCTTTCCAATAGTGCCTGCAATAGTCAGGGTTCCCTAGAGAAACAGAGCCAACTGTGTGTGTGTGTGTGTGTGTGTGTGTGTGTGTGTAGTGCCGGAATGGGGGCAGAAAACGAATACATACGAGACTGAAGTTGGCAAGTTGGAAATCGAGAAAGAGCCAATGTTTAATTTCAGTCCAAGGTAAGGGAAAGACCTGAAGTCCTGTCCAACGCCGGACAGGCCCCAAAACTGGTCTGGAATCTTCCACTGATTGGATGGCTCCCCCTGGAATTAACAAGGGTAACTGCTTTCCTCAATCTACTGATTAAATGTTAATCTTGTCCAATCTGCCCTCATAGGGACAACAATTATAATGTCTGATGAAATATCTGGGAACCTTGTGACCTGGTCAAGGTGATATGTAAAACTTGCTTTTACAGAGCCTCAAAGGACTATTTTGTTTGTCTTTGTACAGTTATTAAATACAACTTTTAGTATTTACTGTTTGGCATGTTGTCTTCATTGTGAAGGAAACTGTGGAGAAAACATACGATGGGCTTGGTTTCAAGCACGCTTTAGACACAGTTCATAATAAACCCAGTTTGGTTCCCGAGTCTGCCTCTGAGGTTTTATCTTTGCCAATTTATAAATTAATAGTGTATGCTACTTATATTTCACACACATCTTCAGCTCCAAACATACGTGCCTAAATAGTCAACCCTAAAACCAAGCCCACTGGTCTTACCTATTGAGGGAGGTCACCAGAGAAACCAGAGCTGTTTGAGGAGGCAGGAGATTATCTATCCAGTTACTCATTCAGGCTCTGCAATGGCTGTGTCAGGGGTTTTACAGAGGAAAAAACTGGGATTATACAGTTTGTGGCTCTCTTTTTCTTTTCAGACGTGTGTGTGCACGTGTGTGTGTGTGTGTGTGTGTGTGTACTCATGTGCAGATGCCCAGGAAGCCAAAGAGGACATTGGATCCCCTGGATCTGGAGTTGGTTGTAAGCTCCTTGATGTGGATGCTAGAAGTTGAACTCGGGTCCCCTGAAAGAACAGTAATTGGTCTTAAGCACTGAACCATCTCTAGCCCTAAACCTTTTCCAGCTCCAAAGTCAGGCACTGAAAGACCATACAAACACGAAAAGCTTGTAGTTATCATATACATTCAATTAATCTCTACACTCTATCTTGCTCCTAATCTTTATTGTTTTTTAAAAATAAAACAAACCTCCAAAACAAACAAACAAACAAACAAACCAAAATCCAGCTCTGGATACTTAACTGTCTGTTGATCCAGACTGATGAGATTTTTGGGTTAACTGAGGATCATGAAGGACACAGAAAATCCCTGTACTGGGCCCCTGGCTGACCTGGCTGAAGGTCAGTCCTTGGACGGGGACACTCCTCTTCTTGGACAAAGAGATCAGAATACTTATCTTTAAACTTATTTTCAGGTACATGCTCTTTTAATTTTAAACTATAAACCTTAAATGAAGTACGAGGCTTCTATCGAGGGCCACTATCTCAAAAGTAAAACAGAAAAGAAACCTAATGACCTTAGAAGTGAAGACAGATTCACAGCTGTGTTCTGAACTCGGCAAATGTTTGCAGCAACGCAAACTGCTTCAGGACTACAACTCCCAGCATGCTGCGCCCTAGACCAATGTTTATTGGCCGTAGAGAGAAAGGATGTCCCCAGAATCCAATCCCGACGCGGCGGAGGCTGGTCCTTTCTGGGTTCCGGCTCCGGCTCCTTCCCCCGCCCACCCAGGCGGCGCTGTCCCTGACCGAGCTGCGCGATTGAGGTGGGTCGCGGTTGTGCTGAGGTGACGTGGGGGGAGGCGGTCGCGGAGCGCGGCGCTTGGAGCGCGGCCCCATTGCTCTCGCAAATGGCTTGGAAGCTGCTGTTTCGCTCTGTGGGTTCCAAAGGCCGCCGGGGGCTGTGTGTCCCTTCGCCGTAATCCTGTCCAACTCTCGCTACCCTCCCGCCCTTACTGTTGGCCTTGGACCACTCCCTGCTCCTCCCAAACAACGTGCCTTTAGGGTCGCCCCTTGTGCTCTTCCCCCTCCAGCCTCAAGCCCCTCTACCTCTCTGAACCCAGCTCCTGCCCTCCAGGACGCTGTACCCTGACTCCTCCAACTTTCCCCTGCCCTCCCCACTCAGACAGCCTCTTTGGACACTTCTGCAGCCTTTGTCCCCTCTCCGTGACCACGGCAGACTCAGGCTCCTTTGATATTCCATCTCTGACCCACTATGCAGCTCCCGTGAGTCTCCACACCTTGCCCCTGGTCCTTCCACGCTACTCGCGGTGCCCTTGACTTGTACCCAGATCTGGAACTTTAATCTTTCAGGCCACAGGTTGGAGTCTCCCCTCTAATCCAGGCTTTTATCCTTCATCCCTTCGTCACCTGTGATCACCAAGCTCTGTCTTCTTGGCTTGTTCCTTGAACTGGTCCCTCCTTTGCACGCTTGTTCCAGACTCTGTGCCGCTGAGCTCCTAAGAAAACCCAATATGTACTAGGTCTCTTCTCCCTCATATTCAGTGCAATATGAATATGACCTTGTATTTGAGCTGCTCTGTCTTTTCAGTGAGTAATGGACTCCCTGCCTGTTCCTGCCAGTTCTGGTCTTGCTCATCCATCCGTCTTGCAAGTCATAGTTCAAATACCACCTCCCCCATGAAGCTGCTTCTGCGCCCTCTTCAGAGACACTCTTGGCGTCTCTGTGTGGTCCTAACCGCTGTAGCGCTCTCCCACCTCTTCCTTTTCTCCCTCCAGCAGCAGCGTAAAAACTTCAGCCTAGGGTGATGGTGCTAGGCTTCAGTTTTGCCTTTCAATTACTGTGTGCTCCTGGGCTAGTGACTTAGTTTCTCTGCATTTCAGTTTCATCATTTCTAAAATAAGTATGAAAAATGAATAGTTGAGCCCAGGAGGCAGAGGCTGGCTTGGCCTACATAGTGAGTTCCAGGAGAGCCAGAGCTACATAGTGAGACACTATCTCAAAAAAAAAAAAAAAAATAGTAAAGATGAATTGAGATGATGCATGTGCATGTGGAGTGCTCAGCTGTAGTCTAGTGCTTTATAGGACCTTTAGAAAATGTTACCTTTTTTTTCCTCCGAGGCAGAGTTTCTCTGTGTAACTTTGGAGATTGTTCTGGAACTCGCTTTGTAGACCAGGCTGGCCTTGAACTCAAAGCAATCTGCCTGCCTCTGCCTCTCGAGTGCTGGGATTAAAGGCGTGCGCCACCGCCGGGCAGAAAGTGTTACCTGTGCAGTGCTGGGCTGTGAAGGATGGGGACAGATGTGGCTCGGTCACTCTCTTCCCTGGAACCTCATGTTCTGCATTGTGTTCTCGATCTGCTTCATCCTGTTGTGTCGTAACTGTATGAGGGTGGTAATCATAATCTTACCTCTTTTTTAAAGTTGTATTTATTATTCAGTGGGTGTGGCAGTGGCACCACAGTTTGTATGTGGAGGTCAGAGGACAGTGTTCGGAGTCAGTCAGTTCTCTTTACTGTGGGTTCCAGCATTGAACCCAGCTTGTCAGGCTTCTGTGGCAAGTGCTTTTAACCATAGCTGGTCAGTCTCATCGGTCCCATCATCCAACCCTAAATTATTCTACTATTTAAAAAGAAGAAAACATTTCTTTACTCGTGTGTGTGTGTGTGTGTGTGTGTGTGTGTGTGGTGTGTGTGTGTACTTGACATCGTGTGCATTGGGACTCAAGAGGACCACTTGCAGGAGTTGGTTCCTGCCTCCTTCCATGGTGTCCTGGGGATCAAACTGAGATTCAGGCTTGGCCACTCGTGTCTTTATCTACTGAGTCATTTTTCCACCTCAGTTTTAAAAAAAATGTATTATATATATGTGTGTGTGCACCTAAGTAAATGTGTATGCACCACATGCGTGCAGGTGCCTGTGGAGCCCCTGGAGTTGGAACTACAGGCAGTTATGAGCTACCTGATATGGGTGCTGGGAACTGAACCTGGGTCCTCTGCAAGGACAGCAAGTGCTCTTAACCACTGAGCCAACTCTTCAATCCCCAACTCAGTCCTTTATTTATTTGTTTGCTTATTTGTTTGTTGAGACAGAACTCTGACTGTTCCAAAACTCATTATGTAGACCAGGCGGTCCTTGGATGCACAGAGATCTGCCTGCCTCTGCCTCCCAAGTGGTGGGGTTAAAGGCATGTATGTGCCACTATGCCTGGCAGTCTTTTTACTCTTTTTAAATTATTATTATGTATACAGTGTTCTATCTGCATGTATGTCTGCAGACCAGAAGAGGGCGCCAGATCTCATTTCAGGTGGTTGTGAACCACCATGTGGCTGCTGAGAATTGAACTCAGGACCTTTGAAAGAACAGCCAGTGTTCTTAATCACTGAGCCATCTCTCCAGCCCCTTTTTACTCTTTATATTTACCCAGCATTCAGTCTTGGATAGATATGTGGTAAAATATGATCTCAGCAGTTTTAAAAGAGAGTGTACAGTTGGGTGTGGTGGCACATGCTTTTACATCTAGCACTTAGGAGGCAGAGGAAGGTAGATAGATCTCTGTGAATTCAGGGCTAGCCTGGTCTACACAGAGAGTTCCAGGACAGCCACCGCTACATAGAGAAACCTATTTAATAAATAAATAAAAGAAATTAGTGGAGGCCACATAGCTCCTTGTATATAGATCCTAAAGTCCTAGGTAGAGTCAGCAGGGCTGAGATTAATTCTCATCCATTTACTTTCTCATTCAGCAAGCAATTGAGCACCCGGCCTTGAGCCGTACAAAGTTACTACAGTAATAAGTATAACATTCTGTTACAGAGGAGAAAGTGGGCACGTCAGGAGATTCCCAAGGAATTGTGGGTGAGAGTAGAAACAAGAAAGCATGACAGGCGTCTGGGTATACTTCTGGCCTTCTGTTATTCACTTCACTGTGGCGGGGGTGTATGTTTTATGTTGCTGTATCTGGTAAGGATGTGTATGTCGTCTGTGTGGCTGATGTTAGCATGTTGGTTGTATGTGTGATATAAACGTATGTAGTATGTCTAGCTGATTTCTGTGTTTGTTGTGGGTACAGCTGCGTGTTGTGTGTGTGAGTCTATGTGATGTCTGTGTGCAGAAGTTGGCACTGATCGATCTATCATGACAGACAGAGCTCACGTCCTGCAGTAGGCCTTGTTAGTATATTGTTAGGCCTTGTTGGTATATTATGGTAAGGGATAGACAGCGAGAACTGGCAGTAAGACCGTTCAGAGTTGGGTCTTGTAAGTAACTACTTCTAGATATGCTCACTTCAGAATCAGTGAATAGACGGCTACTGGACAGGAAGAAACTGAATTAATCTCTAAACGGAAGCACCTTTACTTACATATAAATTATAGTCTATGCCACGTCCACAGCAGTGACTGCCGTGTAGTGACAAAATGCCTCTGCGCTGGCTTTTACCTGCTGAAGGACTGGGGTTAGAGCTTCTTGGAGCGAAGCCCCAGGTGGTCCCCCTGGCAATCAGTGGTTGAGATAGGACCTGATGCCATAGGCAAATCTCGTATCTGGAGATGGCCCTGAGAGCGAGCCCTCCTGACACCTTGCCTGATCTTTCTCTGTATTTCTTAATTTTCTTGTTTATAGCTGACCGCTTACCAAGAGATCAAAGTACGTCCTTGGCTCAGCTCCACCGTTCATTAAAGCAGTCCTTGAGGAAATAAAGTATGCCCCACGCCACGTGAGCCTGGGAAACTTAATTATGAAACAGAAACGGCTAAAGTTGATATGTTACGAGGGAATCGTCATAGTGAATCAGATTTAGAGAGAAAAGGAGAGTTAGAGAAAATTCCCCTTTATGGAAAGATTAGCTAGATCTCAGAAGCCCTGGTGTCTTTATAGTAAGAAGGAAAGAAAGGAAATTATTGAAAACATGAGACCAGCTTTAATATATTGGTATAGGAACTATCCTGAGAAAACTATTAGGGAATATGGAGCAAAGAATAAAAAACTATATAGATGGAAAGCTAAACACAGGACCCTGGGAATTGGTCTCCCACGGTAGAATGTAAATAATGGTGTGAGACAGAATTCTAAGAGACAAAACAAAACTAAAAGTCCTTGCCAACATCTTGAGCACGTAGAGGGGAGCACGTAGAAAGGAGCACGTAGAAGAAGCTCTATTTTGATTATGCTTAACCTTGATTTATGTCTGGAACCCTGAGTGGGGTGATGCAGTGAACCTGCCAAGTTCTTTGATCTGTTTTGTACAAAAACTGAAGCTTTGCAGAAGTAAAATAGCAGCAGATTATCACTACACAGTGTGTCTGTCTGTCATTTCCCTTGCATCGTATCCTGGCTATCCTATCCTTCACCCTGTTCTCCCGTGGATAGTGGTCTCCGAGAGGGACGGTCCGTGGCAAGTCTAGATGGTATTAAGAGTGACATTCGAATTGCGCTGAATATATCCGTTAGTGGGGGGTAGCCCTAAATATCTGTGGAAGTTTATCACTTGAAAGTTGAGAAGTAAAAAAAAGGCTTCCAACAAATATTCCAGTTAGTTGAGGTTATTCCTGGGGGAGGAAGCTTCAACCAGAATGCAAGATTCTCTGATCTGATGGCCTGACACAGGGACTAAGGTGTTGACCATCTGTGTTCATTCCCAGGGTTCAGAGATGGGCAGTGAGAAGGAGCAGAGTCCGGAAGCACACCTGCCTGAGGAAGGGGAAAGGGAGAAGCCCTGGAGAGTGGATGGCTCAGAGGGCTCTCAGATCATATCTGGGGAGGAACATGGGCAGGCGAGTCTGTCCAAGGGTCTTCAAGGAACACATTCAAAAATGCCTTGGCAGAAAGTCACTGCCCAAGCTGGAGGCCCTGGGAACCCCATTGCTTTTTCAAGCCCAGAGGCGGACGAGAAGCCTTTTATATGTGTGCAGTGTGGCAAAACCTTCAACAATACCTCCAACCTGAGAACACACCAGCGGATCCACACTGGTGAGAAGCCATACAAGTGTTTGGAGTGTGGCAAGAGCTTCTCCCGAAGCTCCAACCGCATCCGGCACGAGAGGATCCACCTGGAAGAGAAGCACTACCAGTGCGCTAAGTGTCAGGTGAGCTTTCGGCGGCGCTCAGACCTCACTACTCACCAGCAAGACCACCTGGGCCAGCAGCCGTACCGCTGTGACATCTGTGGCAAGGGCTTTAGTCAGAGTGCCACGCTGGCTGTCCATCACCGAACCCACCTGGAGCCAGCTCCTTACATCTGCTGCGAGTGTGGGAAGAGCTTCAGCAACAGCTCCAGCTTTGGGGTACACCACCGTACCCACACGGGTGAGAGGCCTTACGAGTGCACTGAGTGTGGACGGACTTTCAGCGATATCTCCAACTTCGGTGCACACCAGAGGACGCACAGAGGGGAGAAGCCGTACCGCTGTACTCTGTGTGGGAAGCACTTCTCCCGAAGCTCCAACCTCATCCGACACCAGAAGACACACATGGGCGAGCAGGATGAGAAAGATTCTAGCTAGAGGGGAGCCGTGCTTAGAGAGTCGGGGAGAGCATAGAGCCCACCTCGACAGAAGGAGGCCTTAAGGACCTGCTGTGGCCACCTGGCCTGCAAACCTTTCCCTTTGTAGAATGGTCCCTTGTTGCCTTTGAAGTCAGGGAATCCTGCCTCCTCCCAGGCAGTTTCTTGCCTTGGAAAATCAGAGTGCCCAGTCTTCACTTCCTCAGGGGTGGAGAAAGTGGGATAGGCTTAGGACTTGCGCTCGTCATTGGGACATTAGTCCCTGGCTTTGTGGGACGCGCCTGAGATGGCGTCACCATCTGCGGGTCCTTTAAAGCCATCTAGCTTCAGACACACCGCAGTGCCCTGTGAGTTCCTACCTGCTGTGCCTCATCCAACACAACTTCTAGAGCCCTAGGCCGGGAGGCGTGGCCTCTGTTGGAGGGGCCTCTCTGTCTGAGAAGAGGCCCATGGTTCCTCAGTAAGAAGGAAAAGGAAGCCTCAGGGATCCAGAGTCCAGGGACCCTCGCACTCCCCGTGTCTGTTACCTATATCTTCCTCACCCCAACTTGATCACTCCTCAGTGATCACCAGTAAAACACGTCAATGAGAAGAACATGTGTACTTATTTGGCGATGTGGGGAGCTGGGGAGATTGTTCCAGGGCAGCCTCCCTGTGAAGGAGTTGAGTTCCGAGACAGGTGGCGGCTCCTCTGAAATGTGAAGGACAGCAGGCCGAGCCGCTGGAGCTTTTAGAGGAGGGGAAAGGGAGTGAGTCGGCTGAACATCACTACAGGCTGTGGGTTGCGTGCGCCATATTCTTTATCTCATTCGGTTGCCACAGAGACCCCCGAGGGCGGATGAAAACACCGAAAGTGGGTGCGCGATGGGGCCCGTGTAGACGCTGACCATGCTTTACACGTGGGCATTGTTGGCTTCTGAAGGAGGCTGGCCTAGAGGTGGGGGCTAGTGTGGCAGAAGCCAGTGTCAGGGTGAGGATCTTTCAAACTTTAGGTTATGACTGAACACTTTTGTGGCTGGGAAAAATGACAGTGGCAGGGAGTAGGGGGTTGGAATGGGATAATAGGAAAATTCTTAAAACCCGGATGGTAGCGCGCCATTAATAGCAGTAGATTCGTCCCTGGGACTTGGACACTAAGGTTGCCTGGTTTCCGATTTAGGCCTGGTCTCACATGGCAGTTTCTCACATGGAAGCTTAGTGTCCACCCAGCTTCCCTTTATCAAATACAAGGTACCCCTTCCTATCTCTTCTGTTAGTCTGGGGTCCCGCCTCTTTGTTTGTGCCCAGTTACCAGAATGTGATTTTGGTACCAGAGCTGGCATGGTATGGCCTGTCACTTCATCTAGCAGATGGGGCCCTGCCACTCAGCCTCGCTGTATGAATTTTACACTCAGATGAAGGTACCCTGGGAGGTAAAAATATATCCACATTTCACAAAATGGAAACAGACTGCCGGAGACAGTGGCGTGTCCAAGGTAAAAGAGGGCATAATGCCATGACCATGGACTGAATCTGCTGCCCAGTGCTTATAAATATAGTTAAAACGATAAAGACCGGGCTGACAAGATGGCTCAATGGGTACATGCTCCCAAGCTTGATGACCTGAGTTTGGCCCCCAGGACCCACAAGTTGGAAGGAAAAAACTGGTTCCTGTAAGCTGCCTTCTAATTTCATTTGTACCATTGCACATGTGCACACACACAATAAGTACATGTAATTTAATCTAAATTGTAGGAGACTTCTCAGACGATTCCTTTGCATTTACATAGCACCTTATAGAGTTTGCACAGCACTTGTCTGTCATATGCCATCCCTCCCCTCCTCTCTCCCCCTCCGTTTTCCTTCCTCTGCTCCCTCCCTCTTCTCTTCTTGAACTGTGCGGCCAGGCTTACCCTAATTTAAGACGTATAGCCCAGCATATGCACACGCCTTTAATACCAGGATGTGAGAGGCAGAGACAGGTAGATCTCTGGGTTTAACTCATAGAGTTCCAGGTCAACCAGAGCTACATAGTGAGGCCCTGTCTCAAGAAACAAAAAGGAAAAAAACAAGAAACCTTAGACATGTAATTTGGCATAAACAGAAATAGAAGCCTGCGGTTGTATTGCCTGCAGGACTGAAGTCGACACCAGGGGGCGCAAGAGATTATAAACTAACACCTCTAATGAGAAAATACATCTTCAGCCAGAAGTGGCGGCCCACACCTTCAATTCCAGCACTTAGGGGGCAGAGGCATGAGGCCAGTCTGATCTACATAGTGAGAGTTCCAGGACAGCCAGGGCTATGTAGAGAGCCCCTATCCCTCCAAAGCATTGGAAGACTGCCCCCACCTCACCCCATAGTGTAGCTGGGCTGGTTATTGAAGGTGCTTCCCAGTATGAATGCAAACTGGAACTCAGAAGAAAATGACGCAGGAAGAATTTGAGGATATCAGCAGAGAGGAGCCTTAAGGAGCCAAACAAATACCCGTAAATGGGAAATTATAATAATTGAAAAATACACTAGAGCAATGACCTGTGGGTCCTGAACAGTTTAGGGGCCAAACGACCCTTCATAGGGGTTGCATATCAGATAGCCTGCATATCAAATATTTATATTATGATCGTAACAGTATCAAAATTACAGTTATGAAGCAACAATGAAATAATTTTATGTTGGGGGTCACCACAACATGAGGAACTGTATCAAAGGGCTGCAGCATTAGGAAGCTGAGACCCACTGCATAGAGGACTTCAGTGACAGACTTGAGCAAGCAGAAGAATCTGCGTGGGCCAGAGGGACGGCTCAATGAGTAAAGTACTTGGTCGCACACATCTGAGCTTCATCCCCTGCTCCACAGTAAAGGAGAGAACCTAGCCTCGAAAGATATTCTCTGCAGCTGGGGAGAGGCTTGGTGGTTAAGAGAGTTTACTGCCCTTGCAAAAGACCTGGGTTCAGTTCCCAGCTCCCACACCAGGTAGCTCACCACTACCAGCTCCAGGGGATTCCAAAAGACTCTGGCCTCTATAGGTACCTGCACACATGGTACACACTAATTCAGGTAGGTGCATACATATATTTAAAAATTATATTAAGTCTGGGCATAGCGGCCCTTGCCTTTAATCCCAGCACTGGGGAGGCAATTCTCCACAGTTCTCCTGAGTTCAAGGCCAGCCTGGTCTACAGATTGCATTCCAGGACAGCTAGAGCTACGAGGTGAGATCACATCTAAAAAACAAACAAACAAACAAAAAAACAAAGAAAGCTGTTCCCTTACAGATATGTGCCATATCCCCTATTTTTTTTAAAAATGAGATTTTAATATGTTCTTTTTTAGAAAAATAACAATTTTTTATTATGTGTGTGCAATGTGCCACGGTGTCCACACATGGAAGCTGGAAGAAAACCCTGCAGGACCGGTTCTTGCCTTCCTCCTTTACATGGACTCCGGGGATCAGGCTCAGGTTGTCAGGCTTTTGAGGGAAGAGCCTCTCCCCACCGAGCACCCAGCAAGAGCCTCTTCCCACTGAGCACCCAGCAAGTGCCTTTCCCCACCGAGCACCCAGCAAGAGCCTCTCCCCACCGAGCACCAGCAAGAGCCTCTCCTCACCGAGCACCCAGCAAGAGCCTCTCCTCACCGAGCACCAGCAAGAGCCTCTCCTCACCGAGCACCCAGCAAGAGCCTCTCCTCACCGAGCACCAGCAAGAGCCTCTCCTCACCGAGCACCCAGCAAGAGCCTCTCGCCACCGAGCATCCAGCAAGAGCCTCTTCCCACTGAGCACCCAGCTAGAGCCTCTCCCCACTGAGCACCCAGCAAGTGCCTCTCCTCACCGAGCACCCAGCAAGTGCCTTTCCCCACTGAGCACCCAGCAAGTGCCTTTCCCCACTGGGCTCCTCAGCAGCCCAGATGATATTTAAAGAAGAGTCTGCAAGCTCAGAGTCCAGTTTGCCAGATTATAGGAGATGAAAGAGAAATGAAGAGCAAGGCGTGGTGGCGTGTTCTGTACCGCCAGCACTAGAGCGGCTAGAAGCGAGGGCTTGCCAGAGGCTACAGGCAAGCCTGAGCTATATCTTGAGCTTCAGGCCAGCCTTGGCTACCTAGTAAAACCTTGTCTTGAGAAAAATAAAAGCGATAGAATCCGAAGGGACTTACAGGACGCCATCAAGTAGGCTGATGCATTATGGGAGCTTCATGAAGAGGAAAATGGAGGCGGGAGGGACAGAAAGCATATTTCAAGAAATACTGACAAAACCTCCCAAATCTGAGGATAGAAATGAATGACCATGCCTGAGAGACTCAGAGCATTCTAACTGAGGTGAGCCAAAGACACGCATTCTAAGAAATAGTCCAAACGGCATAAAGAAAACCGAGAGAAAGTCAAATTATTACACACAGGGGATCTCCCGAAATATCATGAAGAAATTTCTCATCAGAAATCCGGCTGGCAAAAAGACAGTGCAATGGCATACTCCGAATGATGACAGGAAAAAGAGAAAATACAGTCCAACAAAAGGCCTGTCAAAGGTGTCCTTCAGAAAGTGGAGGAGGGGTGTAGACTTCCAAGGTCAAAGCTCAGGGAGTTCAGCACTAGACCTGATCTACAAGAAATGCTTCCTGTTTGCTGATTGGCAATCCCAGCATTCAGTAGGTGTCCTCAGGAAAGGCCATCCTGGGCTTCAACAAAAACAACAGGTCAGGGCGGCACTGCGCCTTCACAGCTGGCACTCTGAGGCACAAGCAGGTGGAGCTTTGTGAGGTCAAGGCCCCAAGGGCTACATAAGGAAACCCTGTCTCAAAAGCAAAACAAAGACAAGAAAAAGAAAACTGAAGGAAATTCTTGCGTTCAAGTTCAGACAGACAACACAGGACAACAACACAAAGCGTGGGAGAGGGGTTGGAATTTAGTTTAGTGGTCTCCAAAAGTCCTAGGTCCAGTAGACAGAACTGAATGGAAAAAAAAACATGAAATATAAATATCACTGGTGATTTCATAATTATAGACAAATATAGATTAATATAGTGCTAGGGATTAAATTTGGGGCCTTTCACATGCAAGGAGAGCACTCCTTGGCCCGATGAATTATTAATTCTGGGATAGAATTCATTGAAGTTTTTTTTTTTTTTTTTTTTTTTTGAGACAGCATCTCATGTAG